TGGAGGAGGTACTATCAGAGAGCCTGCAAGAGCCCTGATTGAGAGGGAAGGAAACTGGTGCAATTGAAAATGTTCTGGCAAGTACAATTAATAACACACTGAGAACTAATATCCTGGCTAAACAGAAGTTTTATAGGCCTGTTTTAAAATTCTCTTCTGAGAGCTGAGTAAAGAAACTTACCTAACACCCAACTCATACCTTTTCATCTCAAAAGTAACACATTTACAAGTAAGAAGCTAAGGGTGTCACTCACCCTCACAGCCTTCCCTGTGAATACTGAGCCAGTTGTACTGCTTTTAAAGGCTCTTGTCTGGTTTAGTTCCAGAAGCCCTTTGTGATACTGCAAGGCAATTCGAGCTGTCACTCCTGAGCCAGTAGGACTTCTGTCAACCTGTTCCAGAATAAATGAAGATGAGAGTGTTCACAGTGTTCTAGTTCCATATTACCAGGCTTTTGTGTCTAAAAATTGCAGTTTTAATACCTGTTGATCTGCAAACACACAGATGTTGGTGGTTGGTTCTTCACTATAAGCATCTTTTCCATCTGTTAATATAGTTCCATATAGAAAGCCAAGGTCTTCACTATCAGGATGAGTAATTTTAAACTACAAATGACAAAAAATTATCAACCACATGTAAAATAAATATTTTGATTAAAATTTATCTTTTAAATAACATATATGGGGTACTCTGTATGACTTCTATCTTTATCATTTTTAAAATACCTTTTGGATCAAGGCACTAAATACTAGAAATTATGTCTTTGTCTAGATGAATAAACATAGTTTGACTGGAAGCTATGATTCTTACCATACTTCGAGTCCTTTTTAAGGAAGTTGCTCTGCACATAGTCTCTACTAAAGGAATAGTCCTATTTTATACACATATACTCAAACCCACACACTCTTTGAATCATTGACCCCAGGACGGTCAGTCCACAGGTTGGACATGGCTGCGCAAACAGGAGGAGCTAAGGCAGTTATATCCTCACTCTCAGGAGCTTGAAGGGGATAATGTGGAAAAATCAATCAGTATCTAGAGCTGAAGTTAATACCATTGATAGATACAAGGACAGTGAGAAGCCATGAGCAAGCAAAAGTTATGAGAATATAGAAATAATTAGTAAGAGAAACAATTGGATGAACAAAAAAAAAAATGTATTGAAGAATGAAGATAATTGTTATCATGAAAAGCAGCAGACACACAGAGAAAAGCAGGCACTGATAGTGAGGCTAAATCACATCAATGGGAAAGCATAGGGCCAAATGTGAAATGTTTCCTGTTCTCGGAGGTCTGGTTGTTCAGTTTTTCCTGGATTTCTATAATGTCTGATAGTTTGACCGAGATTACTATAATCTTACTTCCATGTGTATCCTTACAGTTAGTACATTCCACTACAACTTATCTGTTATTTAAAGCAACGGAATAGATTTGGATCCTTAAAATCCAGAGTCTATCTATAACCAAGTTAAGGAGGCCTGCATACTGGAACTTTGTTCTTCTTCCTCTTAAAGCCCCTATGCCTCGCCTCCACTCTAGCACCATTCCAACATCACACTGTTCACAGGCATGCTTCCCCCACTAGACCGAGCACTTTGAAGTTGGGTTTTGTTCTCTCTTTGGGTCTCCAGCATTTAACATAATGTCTTATGTACTCTAAGTTCTTGGTAAGTAAATGTTTGTTTAAAAATGAATGAATGAAGATGAATTTATGTTATATTAACTTTATTCCCCACCCCATGGCCTTTCCCTAAATCTGCATCAGCAGTATGGATGGTCAGGAATTCACAACATAGTTCCGCTGCCTGATTCATCCCTAATAGAACTTTTTCTCATATTTTTCTCAGAATCCCTTCTCCTACAAAGACCACCCTTTGTGACCTTGGTGAGAAGTTTAAGCTTCAATGAAAAGTTCAAAATTACTCCTTCTATTAAGAAAATTATGCCTTTTCCTCTTGATTTCATTGACTGTAAGGTGAAATTATTTTATGCCAAATTGTTAACTCAAATTATTAGCTGTCTGCTTAATGAAACAAAATTGATGTAAATTCAGAGCTTCAGAAGTTACTATGATAAAATAACTCCACATATTGATATTGACAGTACTGGAAAAATGATAATTTAGAACAGAGATATAATATATTTTTTCATTTTGTTAAGTTATAAATTATGTTAAATTAAAACATCAGTTGTTAATTAGACCCATAAATAATTATTAGTAAAAATATATTAGATACTATTTTCACAAGGAATTTTTTACTTAGAATGATAATTAAATTTTCATATGCTAAAACATTCAAATACTGTATTTGAGTTTTATTTATAGGTCCCAATTTCAATGGCAGACTGGTGGTGCTAGAAATGAAAGAATATTCTAGGCTCGTTTATTATCAAAATTGATTTTATCAGAATAGTTTTCTCAAGCCAAAACTAGAGTTACTTGAGTAGTTATTTAACTTTGTAGCAATATAGGAAAAAAATCACTAATTAGGAATTATTGTTCTCTGTGAAATAAGAGAAAATCTAATCAAATTTCGTGAAATCCATTTTGTAAGCTATATTTTACATTCATTATTTTCAAGTTTTGTAGAATGACTATACATAGCAAGGCATATGCATTTTGAATTAGTAGAATACTATATGATACCTTTACTATATGTTTAAATAACCGCAAATTATATTAGTATATATATATTATTAAAGTTAGTAATAGTTATCATTATTGAATATTTATTATGGGTTAGGCATTATTCTAAGTCCTTGATCTGTACTGACTTATTTCTTTCTTCTAACACCCCGTGAAGCAAGTATTTCGTAATTTCCATTTTATAGATAAGGAAAACAGGTACATGGAGGTTATGTAATTTGTTCAAAGTTACAAGAGTTACAAGCAGCAAAGCTAGAACTCACTGGTAGTCTTGCTCTAGAGCCTAAGATTCAAACTCTGTTCTTAGTATTACTAATAATTTAAATATGTAGATATTTAATTTTCTGTATAGATGTGTAGTTTATATTCCCTCCATGCCACAGAGGAAGGCGTTTGTTACAATGGCAGCAACTGTACTGACCTGAGCTGTCACTGCTTTCGTCACTGCAGTCGCTGCATCCACAAGGTCCCTTGTCTTTGCAGAACAAACATCGAGTCCTAACTTTTCAGCACTAACAAATGCATAAAATGCACCACCATATGCAATGTCCACCACCAACTTTTCATGACCAGGAACATCCACTGAGAGATCTGAAAAAGATGTGTTAAATAAATTTGTTTTAGTATTTTTGCAATAAAGTTCATAGAATTTTTAATATGTGTATTTGGGGGATATTCCTTCCTATGATGAAAAGGAAGGAAACAAAAATTCATCTTTAAAATGAGTAGGCATCAGGTAAAGAATAATAGACCTTTAGCTAAGGGCATCTTTCTATCTTTAACTTGATGTTTGCATAAATTAATGAACATATCATTACCACGTTTTCCCTAAATCATACATACATATTTGTTAAGTATTCTGATGATCTTTTCCAGGAAATATCATAGAGGCAGAGAGAAGGAAACCCCTGCGACATCACATGTGAAAACTATGAAGGAAAATGTTGGTCCCCTCTCATGCCACTAGGAATGGTTTAAAATAGTGAAGTTTTCAGATTCGTATTCACAAATTGTTTTTTTTTTAACTGCAATGTCAAAACAAAACGAAAATTTTTTTTTCATGTATATTATATACAAACGCTTATTATGTATTTTCATCTCATGAAAGTATCCTGCAGGCAAATACTCAGAATAAAGCCATTGTGGAATCACTGACCTTTATGGTATCATTTTGCATCAGGGTTTTTGAGTATTCTAAGTCCCCGACAAATCCAGAGTTTCCCTTCAAGATCATTTGTTTGAAATCCTAAACTGGTATTTCCAAATAAATGGGGCTGGATGATATTTTGAAACATTAAACCTGTTTTCCCCCTCCTCAAATTTTCCTCTTTCTCCTCCCCAGTTCAAGTGGGCTTGGCAATTACAGCCTCTGGGGAGAGGCATATGGCAGGGGAGAAAGCAAGTTTTATGGAAAATCTAAGATCTCAGGGGAGAGATTTGTTGGCAAAGGAGCATCCCAAAGAGAGGAATATTTCTCCTGGTCAATAGAGAAATTTCTTCTGGATTGAGGAAAGACTGAAGGTCCTGAGTGCAGAGGATGTGTGTTGACTTCCCAACAGCACCATGAGAGTCTTTGGGGTGGGACAGAGGCAGCAATGGGGCAGGACCAGAGGCCACGTGAACAGGGCAAACAGCGTTTCACTGGTTACCTGTGTAAGCTGAGGACCAAAAGGTTCTCTTCTTCAAGGCCTTGGCTCTTTTCACAAAACTTTGCTCACATATATGCCAAGAAAAGGGGTAGCACATGGAAGGATCAGGCTAAGTCAACCAATAGGACAGAGTGAGGTCTCAAATTCAGAAATTAAATTGCAAAAAATAAAATATTTATTGCATTCTTGAATTTACGCAGTCATACAAAGGTACCAACCAATATGCTCTCAGTTACAGGCTAGCCCACAGAGACATTTTTTACATGTGATGTGTAAAAACACAGCAAATTTATCATCAAAAGAGTAAAACATGCCTGTGGAACTTAACAGTAAAACTGAATGATAAAGGTCTTTATCTGGATGCGGATGCAACATGAAAAGTATGTTTAATAAAAGGAAAATGAGGAATTATATGGAAATGAGGGACTGCTAGAGAGCTAAGCCAAGTGAGGCTTCTTTGGTGTTCACATGTGTAAAATGGGCTATTACCTCCCAAAAGCGTTCTTTTGAGAATTCCATGTGATAATGTGGTGGGGGTGGGGTGGGGTGGGGTGCTTGGCATAGATTAAGAATGCAATGTTAATATTAAAGCCAAAAGTTTAATTTCCAGTGAGAATAGGACTCTTAAGAGGACAAGATATTTACATTTGTCCATCAGCATATTCTTTTCCAAATTTCATTTAAGTTACTCATCCAACGAATATTAACTACCTACTGTTCTAGCATTTGAATACAATGAACAAAACTCAAGAGTTTTCATTTTAGCAGGTGGAATGCAAATGGACTCAACAATCCTCTGAGGTGGGTACTGTTGTCATTTTCATTTTACAGACATGACAGTGAGAAATAGAATTCACAAAGTTACCAAGATAGAGAGGGGCAGAGCAGTGATCTTGGTTGAACACTGTCAGTCTGTCTTTTTTGCATTTTCCCAAGTAGAGAATTTAGGATTTCATTTTCTTAATGACTCAAAGTGAGCATTAATGCCCACTGATTATTGTACAGTCATGCGGTGATGCTTTCAGGAACTACTGTGCTTGCCGAGTTGGCTGTGCCTGTCCTAATCAGCCTGAATTGAGGTAGTTGGCGATCCTGCTGCCAGCTGTCATTTCCTACAAAATATAAAGTGCTTCCCATTTGCTGCTGGGGTGGCTAGGTAGTCCAGCTAGTTAAACTGTTGAGGTTTTTGAGATGCAATCCTAAACATAAACTCCTGTCTCCCTCTAGTGTCCTCCCATTTGCAGATGTGACATCATTCTCTCCTTAATGAGAAAGTGGCACCAATTTCCCAAGTGGCATTCTTCATCAGCTTGAGTGTGTCAGCTGCCTGAGGTTGCTCCAAGACTGACATATGCCTGGGCCATTACGGCATCATTCACAATCAGGCTAATCTGGAATCCAGATCCTTGAGGAGGATCAAAATCAAACTAACAGAATGATTTGCATGGCTTGAAGACTCAAAAAAAAAAAAAAGAAAAAAAAGAAAAAGATGCGATAACCTTATTCATGGCTGGACTAAATTAGCTCCCAGTTCAATTCCAGTCATGACTACTAAAGCAACCTCACTGATGGAATTCAGCTCTTTAGAGGGATCTCCCTCTATGTAAGGATAATAGTTATAGACAGCTGTTTTACATGACATACAGGCTCTGTACTAGGGAACCGTCCAAAATCTTTTGAAGGCTCAGCACACCTAAAGAATTCTAACTAGCAACCCTATATATTCTGTAGTCTGTCCATAGGAACATTATATATACACGCACACATACATACATATGTATATGTGTGTATATAAGTAGTGCCTTACATATTCTTTTAATTTTCACAAAAAAAATCAATGAGTCGACAAATGAAGCATAGGCACAGAGAGGTTAAGTAATTTGACTAAGGTTGCACAGCTTTACGGGGTTGTCAGGATTTGAGCCCACGCAATGTCTGTACCTGTTTTAAAAAATAAGAGCAGCAACATTGTTATCTTCACGATTTATAAACTACTTAGTTCATTCTCATTTACTTTTTCCCCCAAGAAGTAGGGAAGCACTTTTTACAGATGAATTTTAGTAACTTACGTTTTGTAAATTCTCGGGTGATTACCTCCCGACAATTTTACATGTACTCTGAGCCAGCTTGTAACTCCGGTACACTGGCTGTTTTTTACTCTTTC